GCGGTGTTTGTCGGTTCGCTGCTAACCACCAATTTATCAATATATTCGTCGGGAATATCTCCAAAACGATTCATTTTTATTAATTTTTGAGAATATAGTTCACATCAATCACACTAAATAAATCAGTCAACAGTGATATTTATTATGATTCCATGACGGCTTGAAATTATCGCTGTAAGTTTTTTTGAAAATTATCGAATTACCGTTTATTAATACCTTTTTTGGCATGGCTATGGATGAGTGAAATAATCACAAACATTTCGACTAACTGCAATCAGAACTGTAACTAAATACTAAAAACTCGGACACATTTGCTGACAAAAAAATAATATAAAAAACCGTTTTGTGGTCCAACTAGCCCGAAATCTGCGGGATAGTTGAACCACCAATTTGGGACAGTTGGAGCACTCAGGGAGAGACGAACCGTAACAAATGATAAGTAACAAAATTTAACTTTAAATTTTTTAATTAATAAGTTTTTTGCGACATTTTTGAGGTCCTCTTCGGTCCATCTAGCTCTTAGTGAGCTCAACTTCCGTTGGTATTTTGCAGGCATTGTATAAAACAGAAAATTAAAAACCGGTTCAACCGTCCCGATTTACTCTAGTCCATCTATCCCAAATTTCAGGGATAGACGGACCACCCAAAAACAAAAAATCTATGTATTAATCGGCTTTTACATCATTTACGTTGTCCAGAGTGGATACCATTCAATGCACTTTTAACTACAAGTCGAATTTGAAAACTTTCTTTTAGTTAGAATCGCACCTTGAAAATACCGTTAAAAAAATGTCTACCATGTGTAAATGCGGAAACTAATAAAGCCACAAGAAAATTAACTACACACAAAGCTACTATAGGAGTGCAAGTTATAGCCACTTAAAGTTCTTATTTGACTAGTTCAAATTTGTGGACACCCTGTATAAAATGGTAAGTTTATTATCATTGGGATATAAAATATGATTTCTTGTTACGCCAAACTGCGAATTACGTCTACATAACTTAAATAATTCTAAAGTATTTGACACATGAAAATAGTATTAGATTTTGATAAATTTCGAATTATTTCAAAAACCTTTAGATTTAGACATTATGAATTAAAACAAACACGTATTTTGCTCAGAGAATCCAAGACACTCTGTACACTACAAAAATATTTTCAAAATGTGCACCCGATAGGCGCCTGTGGATTCACCAGCTAATACTTTGCAAAAAACAAACGGTTTAGCCGCAAACGTGCCGTTTAGCGTGAATAACCCTGTATATGCAGGAGTTTTGAATACTTAACTTAATAACTTAACTTAAAGGCCTTTACCTGCAAACAACCACGGTTCCTGAGAGGCATAACTGATCTCTCCATTAACTCGCAAATTGCCACTGTTGAGGACCAGTTCTTGCAGGATCACGTGAAACAGCGACGATTTCCCGCTACCAACAGGCCCGATAACTGCTAGAAGAGCGCCTGGAGTTACCGATAGCGTGATGTTCGTCAAAGTGTTATCCGACTGAGTGGCAGTCCACTTGGCAGAGGCGTTTTTGAGGAAAATTCCTGCAATGGTCGCGTTAAACCTGTGCTTTGATGAGCGGCTGGTTCGTACCTGGGGTGTTTTCCGGCTTCAGCGAGCGCTTCTCATTGGCGCCCTTCTCCTTTAAGGCCTTGGCGATTTCAGTCTCGTCGTACTGCATGAACTTGTTCAATCGGCCAATAGAAACTAGAGCTTCAGCTACCTGGAAAAGTGGGCTTTGGTGCCTGAAAAAAGCTTGCCTACGGCGCTTTGGGGCATTACCTGGCCGATGCCCGAAGGAAAAAACACTGTCATGGTCTGGCGCAGAATGTTGTAGAAGCAAGTGAGCACGAAGACCTTTTCCGCCGTGATGTTGTGGCCGAGAAGCACATAAGCCAGGATGCTGCCGAATATGGAGATTCTTGTGCTGTACATGATGAAGGACAGTTGAATGCCTCTCATGTACGACGTTTTCGTTATCGACTTGATTTCATATCTAGCAAATTGAGAAGATGTTGAGCTTGAGGGCTGGTGACTGGTAAAGAGTTACCTTCGCACTGCATCAACCAGCTTGGCAAAGGGTTTTTCCCAGGCATACATTTTGATCACCTGAATGCCCGAGACAATTTCGTTCATCAGTCGCACTCTTTCGTCAGTTCGCATTGCAGTTTTCAACCGGAACACTGAGATCATTTTACCAAAGTAAACTGAAAAACAACTATTTCAACAAAACGTGGCATCCAGCATCTGTTCAACCTATCAACGTCCTCCCGTACTAAATGCCACATCAAACGCTTCCCTACACGCACTTATTAATAGAAAATTGTAATATCTACAATTAAAAGGCCATCAATCATTCAACCGCGCTCATAAAATGACGCGCCGACAACATGTGAAGGAACTTATGTGAACTGAGGACGTTTTCGGGACGTCCTTTTAAGGACGCGCTTACTTTGCAATGGAATAAACGCGATGAGCAGCAGGACGCCCACAACAGCAGCGACTTCCACTTGCAGATACATTAGATAAGTACAAAGAGCCGTTTGAAGGGGGCCCAACCAAAGATGGTGGGCGAATATCACAGCCACATCGAAACGGTTCACATCGTTTGAGAGCAGATTGACCACCTGAAATCGGCAAGTTTTATGAGTTTTCCTCATAGGAAAATGATTGGGAAACTCGCCTGGCCAACGGTGGTTTGCCCCAGGGCGGTTTTGCTGAGCTTCAGCGATTTTCTGTAGATGAGCGAGCAGCAGGATATCCGAATTTTCATGCCCAGATGCAAAACGCCCATCATGAACGGATGAGTGATGAGAATGTTGATTAAGGAACAGAAAACCACGCCTGCCGCATACCAATAAGCTTGTTCCATCGAGACTTCCTTCTCGGTGGGCAGGTAAAATTGCAGAAGTTGTCCTAGGAAAATTGGTTGCGCCATCCTGCAAAACAATTGCAAAATTCCTGTTAGCAGGCAAGCAAAACGGGGCGGATAAAGCGAATGTTGAGCGTGTGTGCTTTTGTGCCCTGGAAGGTTGGTTGGTTGGTCGAAGGTTGTCTGATATAGTTGATGTGCCGAGCCCTTCGGGCACGACACTGACTTTGGGCGAAAACTGAGCAAATGGGAAGTTTTGAGTGTTTTTCGGTTGAAACCGGTGTTGCACCGGAAGAACTCAGCATAACTTTCACATAAAAGGTTGTCTGATGTAGTTCTTGTGCCGAGCCGTTCTGCCGCGACACTAATTTTTTGCAAAAAACGTTGAAACGGCAAATGTGGACTGTTTTTTGCGCTCAAACCATTGTCGTGTCCGAAAGGCTCTGTACTACTTTCACATCAAAAGTTGTCTGATGTAGATGTTGTGCCGAGCCCATCAGGTAAGACACAGATTTTGAAAAAAGTGATCAAGCGGCAAATTTAGAGTGTTTTTTGCGCTGAAACCAATGTCGTGCCCAAAGGGCTCGGCACAACTTTCACATCAAAAGTTGTCTGATGTAGTTGTTGTGCCGAGGACCCTTCGGGTAAGACACTGATTTTGAAAAAACTGATCAAACGGCAAATTTAGAGTGTTTTTTGCGCTCAAACAAGCGTCGTACTGGAAGAACTCAGTACAACTTTCACATCGAAAGTTGTCTGATCCAGTTGTTGTGCCGAGGTCTTCTTCCACGACACTGGTTTTGGAAAAAAATTGAACAAACGGCAAATTTAGAGTGCTTTTGCCGTCAAACCAGTGTCGTACCCGAAGGGCTCGGCACAACTTTCACATCAAAAGTTGTCTGATGTAGTTGTTGTGCCGAGACCTTCGGGGACGACAGTGATTTTGAAAAGAACTGATCAAGCAGCGAATTTTGAGTGTTTTTTGCGCTCAAACAAGCGTCGTACTGGAAGAACTCAGCACAACTTTAACATCAAAAGTTGTCTGATGTAGTGGTTGTGCCGAGGACCCTTCGGAAAAAACACTGATTTTGAAAAAACTGATCAAACGGCAAATTTAGAGTGTTTTTTGCGCTCAAACCAGTGTCGTGCCTGAAAGACTCGGCACACTTTCTCATCAAAAATTGTCTGATGCAGTAGTTGTGCCGAGCCCTTCTTCCACGACGCTGATTTTGACAAAAAATGATCAAACGGCAAATGTACAGTGTTTTTTGCGCTCAATCCCGTGTTGTGCCCGAAAGGCTCAGTATAACTTTCACATCAAAAATTGTCTGATGTAGTTGTTGTGCCGAGAACTTCGGGGACGACAGTGATTTTGAAAAAAACTTTTCAAGCAGCAAATTTTGAGTGTTTTTTGCCCTCAAACAAGCGTCGTACTGGAAGAACTCAGCACAACTTTCGCATCGAAAGTTGTCTGATCCAGTTGTTGTGCCGAGCGCTTCTTCCACGACATTGGTTTTGGAAAAAGTTTGATTAAACGGGAAATTTAGAGTGATTTTGCCCTCAAACCAGTGTCGTGCCCGGAGCGCTCGGCACAACTTTCACATAAGAGGTTGCCTGATGTAGTTCTTGTGCCGAGCCGTTCGGCCACGACACTAATTTTGGCAAAAAACGATGAAACGACAAATGTGAAGTGTTTTTTGCGCTCAAACCATTGTTGGTCCCGAAAGGCTCGGCACAACTTTCACATCAAAAGTTGTCTGATGTAGTTGGTGTGCCGAGAAGCCCTTCGGGTAAGACACTGATTTTCAAAAAACTGATTTAACGGCAAATTTAGAGTGTTTTTGCCCTCAAACCAGTGTCGTGCCCGAAGGTCTCGGCACAACTTTCACATCAACAGTTGTCTGATGTATTTGTTGTGCCGAGAAGCCCTTCGGGTAAGACACTGATTTTGAAAAAACTGATCAAACGGCAAATTTAGAGTGTTTTTTGAGCTCAAACCATTGTCGAGCCTGAAGGGCTCGGCACAACTTTCTCATCAAAAATTGTCTGATGTAGTAGTTGTGGCGAGCCCTTCTTCCACGACGCTGATTTTGACAAAAAATGATCAAACGGCAAATTTACAGTGTTTTTTGCGCTCAATCCCGTGTTGTGTCCGAAAGGCTCGGCACAACTTTCACATCAAAAGTTGTCTGATGTAGTTGTTGTGCCAAGACCTTCGGGGACCACAGTGATTTTGAAAAAAACTGATCAAGCAGCAAATTTTGAGTGTTTTTTGCGCTC